AAAAATCAAAATAAACAAACCAAACACGCTTTTATTTGGTTTTGATTCAAGCAAACAAGGTCAGGTACATTACATGATCGCAGTATTATACAGTCATATGATGTATTCGGTATGAAATAGCCGAAAGATGACATTTGGAGACTTTTGGCGAGGGTCTGTAAAAGAGTTTAGTTCATTAAATTTTGGTATAATATGTACTATATTTGTAATTGAAGTATTGGAATTAAAGTATAATGCTCAACGTGCTTGAAAATCGCACATTTATAGAAATAATAATGTGATATTAGTTGAATTAAATTCTGTAATATTTGATATCCCTATTCGGGATAAAATTTTTATAAATATTACAATGTTCAAATATAGTTTGTGTAACGTCAAAAGTGAACCAAAGTAACGATAAGTTGAAGATAACAATATAAATAATTATTAGCGTTATTATTTAAATAAAAAATTAGAATTTATAATAAAAAAGTACTCTATATGAAATAAGCTGTTACTGCGCCAATAATAGCAAAAACTATGACGTTAATAATGGTGGATGATTGAACATGATTACCAGAGCTATTAGTTATAGTTATATTATGATAATGAATATTATTATTAACATTATTATTTTTTGAGGATAAACTATTATTTTCTTCATTATTAGAACTATTGTTAGAAGATAGTTTTTTTGTTTGAGATGACGATGGTGTATTTGGTGTAAAACTATCAATCCACGAATAACTATCTGTATCGAGTATGTAGAGCTGATTGCTACTTTGGTTATCAATTTTCTTCCTGAAAAGAATTAAAATTAATCGAATTAATATTTTTCTTCTTTTATGTTAAAAAAACAAGATAACATAATAGACATACCAAACATGATGAATATCTATTTTCTATAAGTTCTGAACAGTGTTCATTAAGCAGTGGAACTTCTATTCTAGAAATGACCGGAATCCTCCATTGAAATAGATTTTTCGCTGTTTCTAATATTATAACATTGGGTGTTACTTCAAATCCCCCGACTATTACAACATCTCCATTTGGAACTAAGTAATAAGAAAGTTTAGTGAAGATATCATGAGTGAAAGGATGGCAATAATATTTTACTTACGAAGTTTAGATGTATGATATCTACGGCGATCGGTCATTTCTTTTGGTTGCGGTATAATTTGTCTACTCTAAGTTTTATCAATCGTATTAAATATTTTGATCTATATATTTTAAAATTAGTAAATCTCATTATTACAGTAACGGTCATAAGTATCCGACCGCCTCTAACTTTGGCTACAAGTAAGTAAATTCAAAATTTTTTTTTTATTTAAAAAATACATAACCAACTAACTAAAATTAATACATTG